CAGGCCTGGGATGGACAAGGAGGATGTGTGTGGATTTTTGTCAATCGCTGACTCAGTCTTTCTGTAGGAGGTACTCGGCGTTTCTCTCTCTTTTATGGTCTTGCTGTGATCAGGAGAAGGTTGAGAGCAGCAAAGCCACACGCTGAATTTTAGTGGTTGCTGCCTGGTTGTGGCAGTCCATCATTAGATCGCAGTAGTGATAAGCTTTTTCCACTTAGCTTTTCAGAGAGACATTGTTCTTCAACCACAGACTAAGCCCTTAACTTGGCCCAAAATGGTGGATAATCCAGTCCAAAGATGCAATTAGACCTTGACACTTGACTGAATCATTTTTGTAAGTTTCACATGTTAGATCCTCCATGAAAAAAAAAAAGTATAATCCTCTCTCCCTTCCCTGTCTACTTTACATTGATAAGATGAGACTCAGTGAGGTGACAATGCCGTGGAGGTCAGGGGCACACTTAGGTAGTGAGCAGGCTTGGATGAAAGAGCTGTTCATAGGGCTCAGGGAAGCAGCAATGGGGAGAAAGCAAGGGAAGGTGGTAATGAGTTCCAGGAACCAGAAACAATAGGGAACCATTGCCACCTCTAGGCTGAGGGGCAGGTGGGGAGTAGTAACAAGACCCCAGGGGTAGCTGCAGCTGGGAGAGGGCCTGGGACAGGAGCCTTGGCCAACCATCAGCTCACCAGGGTAGGATCTGGCAGAATAAATACCCTGACTTCCTTCTCCTTCTCATCTCTTGTCAATGCCTCTCAGACAACCAGAAACCAGAGGACGAGAAAGCCTCTTGGTATGGATCACCAGCTCAGCCTCCTGGATCTCAGAGCAGGGTGGACACAGCTGGAGAGTGGAGAAGGAGAGGCCAGTGGAGATTATTCTGCAGACTTTTTCTGAAAAATAACTCCTGGTGTCGAAGCTATTGTAAGGTAATATTCTCAAGATATCCATAAATCCAGGGGTTTATGACCCCTGACCCCACTAACAAAAACAACTAAAGCTGATGTTCTACTTCAAGATTGGGTATGTGATTGTTAATTTTATGTGTCAACTTGATTAGGCTGAGGGATGACAAGATAGCTGGTAAAACATTTCTGGGAGTGTCTGTGAGGATGTTTCTGGAAGAGCATCAGTAGACTGAGTAAAGAAGATCCACCCTCACTAATGTGGGCTTTCATCATCAAATTCTTTGAGGGCCCAAATAGAACAAAATGATGGAGGACGGGTGGATTCTCTCTCTCTCTCTCTCTCTCTCTCTCTCTCTCTCTCTACTTAGTAATCTCTATACCCAACATGGAGCTCAAACTCACAACCCTAAGATCAAGAGTCACATGTTCTACCAACTGAGCCAACCAGGCACCTCTCTCTCTCTCTTTTTGAGCTAGATTTTATCTATCTTTTCCTGCCCTTGGACACAGGAGTTCTTGGTTCTCAGGCCTTCAGGCTTGACCTGAATTATACCACCAGCTTTCCTCCTTCTCCAGCTTATAGATGGCAGATCATGGATTTCTTGTCCTTTATAGCCATGTGAGCAATTCCTTTAATAAAAATCTTATATGTATCTGTCTATATCCTATTGATTCTGTTTCTCTGGAGAACCTTAATACACACTATGAGAATAATCTATGCATATATGAGACTGGAAGTCTGTTCCCCAATAATGCTTATGTGACAGGACAAGATTTATTAAAGTGAGAGTATTCTACAGAGAGTTCTGTGTTAATAACTTTGATATCCAGATCTTCTCAGATGTAGAATTGGGGTAATGGGTGTGAAGAGAGACTGGAGGAAAAGAGGAAGGACCTGACGCAAGAGACTAACTTGATTGACCTCCATAATAAAGAGCTCGGAAAGAAGGGAGACATTTGGGTGCTGGAGAGACTATAGGAGATTTTGATGTGTAAAAGGCCCTTGAGTAGCTATCAATGTGACAGAATTAAGGAGGACAAAAGGGGGCTTCAGACCAACTTTGCAAAGTGTTTATATCTTTTCAAAAGACATTAATAAATAATTGGAATTCCTTTTGAAATGACTTTCAGTTGCTGAACCATATTTCTTTATATGAGTGTCTGAGCAGAGCCAGGGCCCACACAGAGCCGGTAATTTTATTGGAGTTATACTAAAATACCTTCTGGATGGTATCGGCAAGTGAGGACCGGTCAGAAACCACTCCACACACCATGATCTCTATGCTCTGAGCAGTTGCACACAAGCCTGGAATCTTCTGAGGACCCAGCTTCCTCCACACTGTTGCTCCTTACATATGGAAGGTATGACAATTTGACTCTTTCTGGGGCCAAAGAGGGTAAACAGGTTGTTCATGGTCACCCAAAAGCTTAAAGGAGAAAGGAGGCCCATCCCAGGCCTCTGAACCCCTGTGTGGCCTGCATTCTGCTCAGCTGACTGGCCGTAGATTGTGTTTCCTTCCCTTTCTCTAGAAAATGAAAATCCATTCCCCCTTACCTTCTTGAGAAGGTCCATGCTCTTGTCAAGGGGCCAAGTGTGGGACAAGACTGGAGCCTTAGCATTTGTAAAATCATTTCTTTTGAGTTATTAACCTCTTTCTGGAAAACAGTTTGAATTGTGTAAGGGTGGGAGGCCAAGCCCAAGGACCTGAGGTCTGAGCAATGAGGCATGCCATTTATACTATGTTCTGAATTTCCCAGCCATGCAGTCCTGCATCATCAGAGGCTCTAATCAGGATGGGATGTTTCCCAATGTAGGCTGATAGAATGTGGGAGACACTGACTGAGAGGTTCTGGAAAGAAGCTTCCATTTTCTTTCATGGGTACTATCAAAAAAGCAGCTTGCTCTCTCTCCCAAGTAGGAATGAGGGTGCGTACAGTTTTGGTTGCTGCTGGCAAGACCACATTGCAACCTTGAAGGCTGGAAGTTTTTGGATGAGGTTGATGCCACGGAGGAGGATGGAGAGACCAAAAGCAAGCAAGCAAATGAACAAAAACAGCTCAGAGCAGATGGATCTCACCTGGATGGGCAAAAAGTCCAGCCACCTTGAAATTTTTTATTGTCATGGACCAATAGATTCCTTTTATTGCTTACACCAGTCTGAGCTGTGTTTTTTGTCATCATAGTAAAGACCATCCATCCTCCTGATACCTTATGGCAGCTTAGACCCTGTGCTGCAGGATCAGGAACAAGGAGGCATTGTCTGAGTCTGAGAAGATTCTGTTCAACACAGGTGATGTGTCACTGTGTCACTGGGTTTTAACTCTCTTTCGTGGGGAGGGAGGGGAGTTCACTCAAGTTCATCTCACGGCTTGTGGTGAGGGGCGAGAAGTCACTCAGCCAAGGCCCAGCTGAAAGGGTGCCTCATGTGCTTGAATGTGACCTTCTAGAAGCTCAGAGGTCTTGGGCTACCAGAGCCACGTGGGGCAGGGGTTGTTTACAGGGGATTCCTTGGACTCCTAGAGGGTCCATGGAAAGACATCAGGAAGTCCATGAAACCCTGAAACCGTAGGCGGAATTTTTGTGAGCACATTGTCACCAGGTTTTCAAAAGGAAATAATCACTGCTCTATGTTTAAGTAGTACAAAGCCCTCTTTATAAACCCCCTTGTTTGGGTTTCCCCTTATCATAAAGCAGAGGAGTGACTCCTCTTCCTTCTTTCTCCCCAGAACTGATGAACATCGGAGAGATTATAGACGGTAGATAAAGCCATTAGATGGAAAAATCATGTTTCAGTGATCAAGGACTGTGCCAAGCTATTGGGAGAGGTGAGCAGAGCACATGTCCTGGAGTGAGAAAGTCCATCTGGAAGTGAAGGCAGACATAAGCTAAGGTGAAGGACAGTGATGAACACCAGCCCTGTCTTCTCTGTAGGGCATCCGGGAACATGGATACCCATGAATGTGTATCAATGCATGCCATGTGCCATGTGTGTATGGGAAAACAACTAATTTTGCAATGTCAGCTGGTTTTCAATGGGCATTTCTGTAACACTGCCTCATATGGGCCATGGGAACTGGGTGTTTCCCCCAGGTTCAGAGAGTGCAGGGCCCAGGGTCCCTCAATAAACGGCGATGCTGTTACTCAAATTCAGGTGTTCTGTTTTCTCTTCTGGTGCTCTATGCTTTCTGTCAGTGGTTTCTAAACCTGACTGACCAATGCGGAAACTTGGGCTCTGCTCTAGCCCTAGAAATGCCGATTCAGGGGCGCCTGGGTGGCGCAGTCGGTTAAGCGTCCGACTTCTCGCGGTCCGTGAGTTCGAGCCCCACGTCGGGCTCTGGGCTGATGGCTCGGAGCCTGGAGCCTGTTTCTGATTCTGTGTCTCCCTCTCTCTCTGCCCCTCCCCCGTTCATGCTCTGTCTGTCTCTGTCCCAAAAATAAATAAACGTTAAAAAAAAAAAAAAAAAAAAAAAAAAAAAGAAAAAAAAAAAAAAGAAAAAAAAAAAAAAGAAATGCCGATTCAGTATGTCCGGGGCAAGGCCTGGGCACCTGCATTTTTGGAAGTATTCCCAGGTGAATACGAACATCACTTAGGTTTTGGGAACAACTGCTGTATATAAAGAGCACTGTGTGTGTGTGTGTGTGTGTGCACGCGCGCTTCTATATATGCACACGGTGTATCCAATAGGCAGGCCTAACAAACTGTAAAATAGGTAACATTTCTTGGATGCCTCTCATCTACTTTTTTAGGGCTCTTCTATCCTTTAGCCATTTTTCCTGATGCCTCATGGTTCTTTTGCTAACCCCTCATCAGATGGCAGCTTAGTCCCTTTTAGGGGTTGGTGCATTGTCACAGTAGAGTCTTAGGGATGGATAATCACCCAAGTTCAAAAGTAGTAAATCTCTAATGATAGAATTTCAGGCTTTGGAACAGGCAAATGGGTGTGAGAGATGTCTTAGGGAGGGGAGGCATCTTACCGTGCTGTGTGGTGGTTGTGTATTTGCCAAGGCAGCTCTCCACCACAGAACCCCCACGTGTATTATCATATGTTTGTGTGTCTACCATACAAATATAATACCCACAAAACTCTCAGAATGAAAAGCAAACACATATAATGAGCAGGTGGATTTTTAGAGTGTGCAATCTTTTTTAAGGGGAAAAAAACATGAAAGCATTATCAGTGTCAAGTCTCAGCACAAGGCATGCTCTTGAAGCTGGAAGAGAGGCATCCAGAAATACGAGTTTGTCATGGAAACGCTGACAGGGCTTCAGCCGAGGGATGCTCACAGGTGCAGCCTAGAATGGTGCAGCCTTTTATGGATTATTTACATCCCAGCCCACTGAATGAATTCTCTTTTCCTGTTTCCTGGCCATGGAAAGCCAGCTGGCCCTCTGGGACCTAGGGAGTTCCTACCAGGAAATGGCTATATCTCTCCTGGTGGTAGTTTCTAGACTTTTTTTGGAGCAGGGAATGGAGATGGTCTTAGGATTGGCTTCACATTTGGGAGACGGGGTCCTGGAAGGAGCAGAGAAAGAAATGAGGGAAGGAAGGAAGGAAGGAAGGAAGGAAGGAAGGAAGGAAAGAAGGAAGGAATGGGGGAGGGAGGAAGGGAGAAAGGAAGGAAGGTAGAAAGATAGGAAAGAAGGAAGGAAAACATACTGATTCCAAGTGCCAGGTGCACCCCTAGAAGTATAAGCATCGTCTTTGTGTCTTTATCACCATCAGCTAGAACCCAGTGAGTTATGAAAGGTCATTGCTGCGTTACAGAGGAGGAGACAGGCTGGTAGCACATAAAGATTGGGAGCATATAACTCATCCTTGGGTAGACTAGCTGACTGAGTGGTGTGAGCGTTAGGAAGTTTCCCCTGAACCTACCACTTTTGCTGGTGCCCAAAGCAGGGCACAAAGGTCTTCCCTTCACGAGCAGTGACAAAGCTAAGAAGGCCATGCCTCCTGGGAGAGGCCACACAGTGACCACCCCCAGTCCTGTACTGTGAGTGGACCTTGCTTGAGGTGGAGCACTGGGCCCCTGGAAATATGGGTTCTTTCTTCTTCCTAACTGGGCCCCAGGAGTCCAGCAGGAGCTGAGAAGGGTATCAGCTGCTTTATGGAGCCAACTAGGCAGGGTGTAAGAGCCTGGGGAAGAGGGTTGGGAAAAGGAAATATGGTTTCTGTCTGCGAGAAGTTTCCATTTGGGGGTAAAATGTGGCCCCTTTGGGCTTCCCAATCCAATCTGACAAGGAGGGCAAGAGCTCTGCATGAGTCCGAGAAAGATGGAAGAAAGGAGGTACAGTCCACGCACTCCAGGGCTTCATGGCCTGCGGAGAGAAAGACCTGTTTCTTCTATCTTGGCCATAGGCTGCCCCACCCCTGACCAACCATGTCAGGAATCGAGCTACCAACCCACCTTGGACTGTGGCAAGTGCCGGGGTGAGACAGAACCCCTTCCTGTGCACCTGCCCGGCCTGGCGGTCCCTTCTCTCAGAGCTGCCTGCTCCTGGGGGCTGCAGCTTTGGCCAGGCCCAGGCACTCTGCTGGAGCCTGGCTTGCAGTGGGGGCCTCTCTGCTCAGGCCCACCTTTCCTTCCCCACCAGGAGCCTTGGGAGCTTGGGAGACATTCTGGGGCTGGCTCTGACACGAATTTGCTGCTCGGTGTGCCAGGCGATCAGAGCTCACTCCTCTCCCTCTTCCCTGGGAGGTGTTGATAGTAACAGCAGAGACGAGCTGCCAAGTTGGCAGGAGAACAGAGCGACTGTGCACTGCGGATTGAGGGGGGCGGGGAGCAGCCAGCCGGCAGAGGGCTGGGCCAGAGCCACAGTTTGTTTATCCCTCCCGTCTCAGCAGCCGGCATCTTGCATGAGGAGGGGAGACTGTGCGGGAAGGTGGGAGGCTCTAGGCGAGGCCCGCCCGGGGCAGTGGTGCAGAGGGAGGCCTCTGGGAGGCTCCTGGGTCTGGGTCCTGCCAGAGGCGACAGTAGGTACCTTCTGCCCCAGGAGGCAGGCCTCACCGGCAGGATAGAGGTCCATCTTTGTTCCTGCTGTGGAAGCAGACATGGAGTTTCCAAACTGGAGTGGACCTGGGTGGGAGCTGGCGAGTTCTGGAGCTGCTTCCCGAGACAGAGAGAGAGAGAGAGAGAGAGAGAGAGAGAGAGAGAGGATCTTAGGAGAGCACCCATGCTGTCTGCCAAACAGACCTGGGACCTTCGGCAAGCATTTGACTTCTTTGAGCCTCCGAGATTAATAGCTACTCTAGGTGAGAGTTCAACAAGGTGGTAATAGCAAAACTTAGCTCACTACATGGCAGACACTGTCCGAAGAGTTGTTGTGAGTGAATGCACTTAATCTTCAAATGACTTTATCAGGTAGGTACTGTTAATCCCGTTTTATTAATGAAGTAACTGAGGCACAGAGAGGTTAAGTCACTTACTCAAGGTCACAGAACTAGTGAGTAGCCAAGGTGGATTGAACCCAGTCATGAGTCACTTAGGCCATGTTCTCAGCCCTTATACAAACTGCCTTCATAGTACAATAGAGTTCTTAGCACAGTGCCTGGCATACAGCAAGCATTTAATAAATGTTAGATCTCACCATTAGCCCAGAGCAACTCCAAACAGGGGACCCAGGCTCCTGACGTGCCCCCCCCCACCCCCCCCAGGGACGCCATGGGGCCCTACTGTTGTCTTCCCTGCCATCTTTGGCCCACGCTACCTGGCTTATTTGAGGAGCTGGAACATTTCCTCCTTTGGAATGGGAGCCCCTGGCCTTCCCATTTCCCCTCTTCCTGCCGAGGCAGAGCAGAGCAGAGCAGAGCAGAGGAATTCTCAGCTTCCTCTAGTTACCCTCAGCCTGCGAAGAAAACAGAGTCTGCTGTGTCGGCTGCCAGTTCCTCTCTGGTGACAGCCACAACCCATTTGCTCAGCACCAGCCCCAACCCGTGCTATGGGGAGAACGGGAAGCCTAGGGCCAGACCTGGGTGCCCTACATTAGACCCTGGGCCTGTCACTTCAGGGCTGGACCTTGGGGGCTGCTCATGGGGAGAGGGCCGGGCCAAATAATTTCTTGAAGACCCTCTTGGCTCTACGAACTGACTGAAGGCTGGTGTACTGCATTCATAGTCTCTTCCCTAGTGTAGGAAGTCCATTGCATAAATGTGTTCCTCGTATTTTGGGGCAGTTCATTCATGCAGCCTTGCAAATTAGTAACCAGCTCTACGAGCCCATTACGCTGTGCTACTGGCTACCTTTGCCTCTTAGAAGGTACCAGGGAATGAGTCCTTTGCCACGTTCCGGGCAGCCAGAGCTACCTCTGTCAGCTGTGAGATAGCCACACCAGAGCCAGGAGTCTGGATTACCGACTGCTTCTGAGGCCTGAATTCCTCCCTGAGACAATGAAACCCCAATTATCAGTGCTGGGGGAAAGGAACCGCAGTGTAGATAATCTGAAAACAACACTGTTGTGTTATGTGGGGCGGCGGGGGGGCGGGGAGGGGGGAAAATTGTGGGTATCTTAGCTACAGATTTACCCTCCTAATCATTTCCTTCAGGTCATGACTGATGGCAGGCCGGCCCAGAGGCAGGGGGATGCCCAAGATGACCTGTAAGTGTTCCTTCCCTCTGGAGGCCTCCATAGAAATCCAGAATGAGCGAGCAGAAGTGGGTCGAGGTTCGATTTTCCTGAAGAAGCTCTGAGCTGGAGACAGGATGCGTTGACTATTTATTTATTTACGAGGCTATCGATTATAATGCAGCTTTTCCACAGGATCCTGGGCTGGAGTTGGGGGAAGAATCCTCTTATCATTTAGCTTCCTTTGCCCTGAGACGTCAGGTGCTCAGATAGGCTGCTCCTCCCTCTCCTTGTTCTTCCTCCTTTTCCCACCCCCTTCTGCGGCCCTCACACCTGAGCACACTGAGGGTTGGGGGCTCCGGACAGCCTCCCTAGTTTCCTCTTTTCTCATATCTGAATGTTCTGGGTTTCTTCCAATATTTAGGATACACACCCCAAATCTTAACAGCAGGGAGTTGCTTAACTCAGGTACAGGCGTTCGATTTCTGAGCTGTGAAAGACCTCTGAGATCCTTCCAGCAAAACCCTTTTGTTTTACTGAGAAGGAACAGAGGCCAAGGGGAAGTGATTTCCCCAAAGTCACCCAAAGAGAGACGCACAAGGTGGACAAGAATGGAGGCCTCCTGATACCCCCTGGGTGAGGACACTTAGAGCCTTACCACATGGCCTCCCAATCTGGCCCCTCAACCCCGGGTTGGGGATGGCACTGAGCTAGGAATCCCTCTCTGGGAAGGTGGCCCCTTTTGCAGCCGCTCCTTAGTTTGTTTTGAGCTTGGTGAAATATCGCTCTCAGTCTCCCCTACTCTGACCTGGGATCAAAGGGTTTGTGTATAACCCCAGAGGAAGATGGAAGCCAGTGACAATGATAATGAACCAGCTCAGCCTTTTCCGGCTGAATCCACCCTCCAGCCCTCCCACCCACCCCATCAGCCACCTTTCCAGAGGCCTCTCCCAGCCTCTGTGCTCCATCACTGGCCTTCAGATTGGCACAGCTACCCATGTCTGCTTGTCCTTGTGAAAGAAAACCAGGGCTCTCCCTCAGCCCTGTTTCTCGGGCTCAATTTGCCAGAGGCAGGAACAGGCCTCCCTCAGTGGGCAGAATCCAGAACGCAGGCCAACACTGTACCAAGCCCCAAGGGCTGGCTCCCCATTTTGGGGACCCTCCCCACTTTGGCCCAGTTGAACTTGGCTCTAAAGATGAGGACAATTGCTTGGGGCTAGGTGGGCACTCTGCCCTATGTCATTATACTTCACACGTTCGTTTTGGCATCCTGTGTTCCAAAGTTTACCCCCAACTGAATTCACCAACTTCAACTCTTTTTCTTCCCTTTTCAGAGGCTATGCTGTAGCAAAAAGGAAATCCTTCCAAGCACCACACTCTCTCCCTGTGCCCCTATCATTCTAGACTGCCTTTCCCTCCTGCTCTACACATGCAGAAAAACCATGTTCTATGCCACTTTCCAGCTGACATCCATAGCAGGTGGACCCCTGAAAATTCTCATTTTTCCATGGGGTTACATAGTTAGTAGGTGACAAAGTAAGGATTTGAACCAGGTCTGTTGTTCCAGAGTCTGTACTCTCAGCCATTGCACTATATTGACCATCAAGAAACAGCCACCCTTCTCCAAATTATCTTTCTCTCATCTAGGATTTTACCTGCACTTTCCTTTTGCCCTCCCCCCACCATGTTTATTTATTTTTGAGAGAAAGATAGTGAAAGCTGGAGAGGAGCAGAAAGAGAGAGTCAGAGGATATGAAGCAGCAGCAGGCTCTGCACTGTCAGTGGAGACTCCCTACACAGGGCTTGAACTCACCAACCATGAGACCATGACCTGAGTGGAAGTTGGATGCTTAACTGACTGAGCCACCCAGGAGCCCCTTACCTGTGCTTTCCTTATCACACATCACTTTTTGATTTTTTTATTGTAACTATTTATATCATATACCTTACCTTCCTTACTAGACTATGATCTCCTCAACAGTAGGGATTGGGTCACATTTGGTGTGTCCCCAGCACCAGGCCCTGTGCTAGCACATGGCAGGGGGCCATTAAATGTGTGTTGGATGAGGGAATGAATACACGATTGAATGGATTTGAATCGTAGTGAGGTCTAGTGTTTGCCCATGGTGGAGCAGGGAGTCAGAACTCACTTTTCTGATGGGCCCAGCTTCCCGCTTCCTTGATAAAGACACCGTGGGAAGTGAAGGGGACGGAAGCGTTTCATCGATGAGCGAGGTCAGGAACACAAACCCCTGCATGTCTGTAATTACAGAGCTTCTTCACGCTGGCAGCATGCTGGGGAATGTTTTCAGTTCTCCAGGTTGGGAACTGCAGGTATTCCTGATGGCTTTGTGTGATCTCACACGGCTCTGAAAGGAAAAGAGAGAAGAGGCTGATAAAACTTGTGAGTGATCGCTTTGTCAAGTATAGGGTCTGCCCGTAGAGCAAGGGCCTCCAGCATGCACCCCACCTTCAAGACCCACTTCATTAGCTCAGAGGGGTCTCCAGCAACCCTTTCTGTGCTGGCTGGCCTCTTTGGGGGATCAGGGACTCCGCATGGAGCAGCTCATGGTCTCTAGCTGGGTTAAGGGCAGGGTCAATCCACTGGGAGTCCTTCCAAGTTGAGAAGGAGTAACAGGAAGCTCTGAGGTTCAAGGCACTGGGCGGAGGACCTGGAGTGTGTGTATCATCTACAAAGGGTGTGTATTTGTGTGTGTGTGCATATATGGGTGTTTGTGTGTGCTCATGCTCACCTGAATGTGTCAGAAGCAGTGAGGGGGCCCCAAAGTGGGACTGTGCTTTCTGCAAGGCCTTGAGGATAGCTGCTGGGTGCACTTTCTTCAAGGCTCTGTTCAAGATTCAGCTTTTCTGGGCATGTCTGGGTGGTTCAGTAGGTTGAGCCTCTGATTCTTGATCTGGAGTCAGGTCTTGATTTCACGATTGTGAGCTTGAGCCCTGCATTGGGCTCCATGCTGGGCATGAAGCTTACTTAAAAAAAAAAATAAAGAATAAAAAATAAAAGATTCAGTTTTTCTGCTCCAAGGCAAAATAGGCAGATAGGCTGATCAGACTCCTGGGAGGATCATGTCTGAGAGAATGGTTTCCGGCTTTGCCTTCTGCTCTCACTTTTGTTGAGAGAATGTAGGTTCCTAGCCAGCACTCCCAGCCTCATCCCACAACTGTGGGAATCTCCTGCCCAAACAGAACCACAGCCTAAAAACTTTGCCTGTGCATGGTAGTTTTACTCTGATACTTGTCTTTTCAAAGCCCATTTACATCCATTATCACCTTTCATTCTTACAACAACCCCTCCAGAGGTGCAGAAAGCTGATTCTTTTTTTTTTTAACTTTGTTTTAATGTTTATTTATGTTGAGAGAGAGAGAGAGAGAGAGAGAGAGAGCATGCATGTGCAAGTGGGGAGGGGGCAGAGAGACAGAGAGAGAGAGAATCCCAAGCAGGCTCTGCACTAACAAGCATAGAGCCCAATGTGGGGCTTGAACTCATGAACTGTGAGATCACGACCTGAGCCAAAATTAAGAGTTGGATTGTTAACCGACTGAGCCACCCAGGTGGCCCAAAAGCTGATTTTTTTTATTATAAATGTTTATTTATTTATTTATTTATTTATTTATTTATTTATTTATTATTTTGAGAGAGAGAGAAAGAGAGAGCAAGCAAAAGTGGGGGGGGGGGGCAGAGAGAGAGGGAGAGAGACAGAATCCCAAGCAGGCTCGCATTGTCAGCTCAGAGCCGGACAAAGGGCTTTATTTCATAACCATGAGATCATGACCTGAACCGAAATCAAGAGCTGGATGTTTTAATGACTGAGCCACCAAGGTGCCCCTCTTTGATTATAGATGAGGAATTAAAGCCCAGAGCAGCTATATGGGCTTGTTTTGGGTCACACAGTAAATTAACAATGGAACCCCAGGCACTCCCTCTCTGGCTTCTTGACTCCAATTTCTTTCCTATCTTCAGTTCTGGGTCCCCATCTCCCCATCTCCTCCACCTCCTGTCTCCTCAAAGGAAATCTTCACAGAGAGGCTCACACTTTATAAGAAACATGTACATCAATTCTCCTGGTGCTGGGTAGACAGCAACTCAAAATGGGCACCCTTCTCACCTCCTTCCCTCATTCTGACCCACCCCACTCCACCCCACCCAGGAGGAAGCTCATTTCTGGTAAGTATCCTCAATATAGCTCTTTCTGAAAATGTTGGGGGCACATGCCAGAGAGCTTCCTTGGGAGGAGAGCCAGTACTGTTTGCCCTTCTTGGGAAGGGGGAAGAGACAGTGGTGGCTTGGGTCTCTATAAATGAACATATGTGGGCCTGGAGCAGGACTGGAGACCGGCAATGTGTTGCAAATTTCCCTTTGCCTCACTTCCCAGACTGGGAACCTAATGGTCACCTAGCCATTTCTTTGAGGCTTAGAAGTCATGAGGTCTGGTGTTACCCTACCTGAAATTTTGTTTATTTGGCTTTGGGGTGAGTCATTCATTGACTTGTTCATTGGCTCAGCAAATGCTTGTTGACTACTGGCCCCATGTCAGTAGTCTTTCCTCTGGATACCACAGTGAATGCAACAGGCAGGATTCTAATCAGTCTGGAAAAGGACACAGCTAGTTGGCAAAACTGTTAGTTGGGGGTGGGGTAGAGTGGGGTCAAGGTAGAGATGTAAAGGGAGCTCAGAGAAACAGGGTAGCAGGGAAAGTCTCCAGTGCATATTTGACACTGATAATGCATCTCAATTTGGACTAGCCACGTTTTGAGTGCTCAATAGCTACATATGTTTGGTGGCTACCGTGTAGATGCAGAGAGTGTGCTTGAGAGGAGCAAGAATGGCAGAGCTATTGCAGTGGACCTGGAGGTGGATGGTGGCTTGGAGATAGAGACAAAGGGACAGATCTCAGAGAGATGACTCCCAGGCTGCCATGCCAGGCCGGAACTTAATACCTGTAGACTCCTTTTATCTGAAAGAGAAATAAACTTCTATCTGATTTGGGCCATTTTACTTGGGACTTCCCTTCTAGTCACATCTGGACCTAATTTTATTTTATTTATTTATTTTTTAATGTTTATTTATTTTGAGAGAGAGAGAGAGGCAGAGAGAGAGAGAGAGAGAGAGAGAGAGCACACATGCACACACACACAAGAACAGGGGAGGGGCAGAGAGAGAGGGAGAGAGAGAATCCCAAGCAGGTTCTGCCCCAGCATAGGGCTCAGCCTCACAACAGCGAGATCATGACCTGAGCTGATATTAAGAGTCAGACGCTCAACTGAATGAGCCACCCAGGCACCCCTGGACCTAATTTTAAAGAATATAGCACCTCAGTGGAGATCTCTAATGGTTAGATCTGATGGGTCTAAATAAGTAGACAGGTCTGAGAAAGCTACACATAGATTGGAATTTCCAGTCCATAGTTGGTCATGAAGCCATGGTAACATAGAAGATCTCCAAGGGAAAGTGGTCCAGTGAGAAGAGAAAAGAATCTAGAACAGAACTCTGAGGAACACCAGCACTTAGGATGGGCAGAAGAAGAAGAGCCTGCTAAGGAGACTGAGAAGGAGCAGCCAGAGAGGTAGGAAGGCATCAGGGAAGTGCTGTGCCATGGAGCTTAAGGAGGAGAGAGTCCCAAGGAGGGTGTGACCAACAGTGGTAATGGCAGCTCTCACTGCTTGCTTCTGTAGGTGTGGATGGCACCAGAGAGTCTGAGTAAACCAACTTCGGTTTCTGTTGCAGCCCTGAGTTCCAACAAAGGCTGGTCACATCATCCTCCTGCTCAGTGCCCTTCAGTGGGCTCCGGGTTTCTTAAGGATAAAGTTCTAGCTCCACAGCATATCCTTTAGCCACCTCCAAAGTCTGGCCTTAACTTTTCTGTCCACCCTGTTTCCTTCTCCAGAACACTGCTCTCCTGCCAGGCCTGACTTCCTACCATTCTCTACCTTAGCCAGTGAGCTTCTCTCTAACTAAAGAAACGTACTTCCTCCCTTTTCTTTTTTTTCCTTCAAAACCTACCATGCTTCAAGACTTACCTCAAATGTCAACTCTTCTGCTCCCTGATTCTTCCAGAAAGATTGGTTACCACCCAACCCTGTGTCCCCCATGAGCATTTGTTCACTCTTGATCACAGTTCTCATCATAGTCTAGCCTGGGGTCAAGTTGGTTGCGTACATGTGTGTCTCCCCAGCTAATAGGCTGTGAGGGTGGAGAAGTCTGAGGCTACTTCTGGATACTCATCCGTGTCCCCTTTCCACAGAGCTTGTTACAAATGTTTAAGAAATGTTTATGGATTTAGTGAAATTTTGTCCCTCACAGCCTTCAATTAATAGTGTGGTCTCTTTTTTTTTTTGTTTTTTGTTTTTGTTTTTTTTTGTTTTTTTGTTTTTTTTTTTCATATCACTTCAGGGATTGGGGGGGCAAGGGAGACACTAAAATAGAGAGAACTCTGATTTAGAGGAAAATAGACAAGGAACTGAGTTTAAACCCAGCTGCTCAAAGAAATTGTTCCAGTCTGAGCTTCCCCTGACCCAGGAGCTTTTATCATCTGAGTGCTGGAGAACCACCTTATTCACAGGAAAGCAAGAGAAAAATTAATGCAATAAAAGTTGGTACCTTGAAGAGATGAACAAAGGTGACAAATCTCTAGCTAGACCAAGAGAAAAGAGAAGACTCAGTTACTAAAGTCAGGAGTGAAAGAAGGGTCATTTCTACAGATCTTAAAGAAATAAAAAAGATTATAAAGTAACACTATGAACAACTATATGCTATCAAATTAGGTGACCCTAGATAAAATGGACAAATTCTTGAAAGACACAAACTACTGAAACTACTTCATGAAATAGATAATATGAATAGACCTAAAAGAAGTAGATTGCTTTGGTATTTTTAAAACTTCCCACAAAGAAAATTCCAAGCCTAAATGGCTTTACTGAATTCTACCAAATGTTTAAAGAATAATATCCATCCTCCACACTCTTCCAAAAAAAAAAAAAAAAAAAAGAAAGAAAAGAAAAGAAAAGAAAAAGAAAAAGAAAGAAAGAATAGTAGGGAACACTTTCCAATGCAGTCCAGTATTATCCAGATGCCCAAACAAGACAAAGACATCACGAGAAAACTATACATCAATATTGCTTATATATATAGATACAAAAATCCTCTGTCAGCACAGAGCCTGATATGGGGCTAGATCAGTACCTGAGCCAAAGTTGGCGCTTAACCGATTAAGCCACCCAGGCACCCCATAATAACATTAAAAAAAAGAATGAGGGGCACCTGGGTGGCTCAGTTGGTTAAACATCTGGCTCTTGATTTTGGCTCAGGTCATGATCTCATGGTTTGTGAGTTCAGGCCCTGCATCAGGCTCTGCACTGATGGTGGGGAGCCTGCTTAGGATTCTGTCTCTCTCCCTCTCTCTGCCCCTCCTCCACTCATACTTTCTCTCTCTCTCAAAATAAATAAATAAAATAAAATATTTAATAAAATACAATAAAGAATGAAATACTTAAGAATATATTTACCAAAAAAGTGAAAATTATAACAAATTATAACACAGCTGAAAATTATAACACATTATTAAAAGAAATTAAAGAAGACCTAAATAAATGGAAAGAAATCCCATGTTAATGGATCAGAACATGTTAATATTATCTTAATTATCTTAATATTGTTAAGATAGCAATACTCCCCAACTTGATCTATGACTTAACATAATCTCTATTGAAAGTCCAGCTGGCTTTTTTATAGAAATTGGTAAGCTGGTCCTTAAGGTAATATGGAAATGCCAGGGACCCAAATTAGACAAAGAATCTTGAAAAAGAAGAGCAAATTTGGAGGACATTTCCAGATTTCATAACTTACTAAGCTAT